CTTTTAGTATATTTCTTGTACTAAATCTAGTACAATGTACTAAATCTAGTACAGGTAAATCCAATCCATTAATAATATATCTATTAATAAAAATTCTCTATGCATATTATGTAACAAAAATAAGAGTTGAATTGTTGAGTTCTTGCGGAATAGTTACAGTTTCAGTTTCTAATCTTTTTTGCGTTAATCTGTCTAAATGCTAATCAGCGATATATTGCATGCATAATGCGTAATTAAAAGTATATATTATATACTCGACCTTAATGAAACGTATTTTATTAGCATTCATAATATGTATTTTGAACTAGATTTATTCCATTTATATACAATCGTTACACTTAATTCGCCTGGCATAACCACCAAAATCATTAATTAAATCAGATCGTATATAATTATTAGCTAATAAAAAGATACAATTAAAAAACGGCATAAAGTATGGGGGATTTGTAGTTGAAAGAGTCGAAAAAATATGATTTTGAGATAATTAAATTTATCGTGTTCTGAAATTTTGTGTTTATTGGTTAATAATTTCGATTTTCGCGCCGAAATTTACTCAAACCTATTATTGATTTTTTAGGGCTGTTTGGTCCCTTCTACCGCAAAAGAATATTTTCTTAATGAAATTTATTATAAAAATTTTTTAATTGATTTATCTTTGTAATGTTCTTCGGAAGCCAACTAAATTCGTAAACTATATCAACTATATAGTTTTAGGTAGTTTTAAAAACTTGCATTTTACAAAGAATGCGAAATAAGCTTTTATTAATCAAAGCTATTTTTAATTTATTTCTAGTAGAAAATGCTTTTATTTCCTCATCCATGCTCTTAGAAGATGTTACACTTTCCTTAAGTATCCAATTTTCGGCATAGTATAAAATTGACTCAATAGTTTTTAACTCATTTCTTTTGTTGTAAGAACATTGTAAACTTTAACAAGATCAAGCGCCTACACATAAATTTATAGATCTACCAGCTCACCAGTTTCAAACACAATTATATTTATTTCAAAGTTCATTGTATATACAGTTGCATTTAGTGTTCCGATCTGGTCGACCTGAATGACTCGATACTGGCATGCTATAATTATATAAGCTTAGGTAGGTCATAATTAAATTTTTTTTATTAAACTAGCCAGACAGAGCCGTTATTGTTGAGCCATTGATTGTTGTGAGCGAGCTATTCATAACATTTGATAATTCTTTCGTATGTGGTCTTAATTGATGCTGTAATATTCAAGATGGATGTAGCTTGTTGGTACTGAATGTTTCAGGATTGTTATTGTGGGGCCGTGAAGACTGGGCTGTCATGACTGTTCTGTAGTTGTTATCTATTGCTTGAGGGATGGTATAAGGGTAATTAATTCTGTGTATTCATCAAGAAAAGTAACGAGGCAGAGGATTTTTGACAATAAACTCTCAGTAGCTATTGTGAGATAGCAGGCTTGTGTCAGTGTTGTTTGCACTTGGAATATGCACAATTTTTATAGTGCATTCAGTAGATTGTTCATCCAAATTAGTAACTTTTTTCTTTGTCACATTAGGGGCAAATATACGAATAGTGATCAGGATTGTAAGTAATTTGCGAATTTGGATATTAGTTATAGTTAAATTAATCGATTAGGATCAAGTAAAAGCTATGAAACAATTTTGAAATTGCTTCACCACCTATGTTAGATGCATCTACATACAAGTTTATATAATATGTGGGAGTGACCAGTCAGGTCTTGAAATAGCTGAATGCTAGGCCAGTTCTCTATTATTTTATGCCACTATTGAATATTAATTTTATAGGTTTGTTTATTTGAATATGATACTTAGAATTGTTAAAAAGGTCTTGGGTACTAATAAGCTATTGCACAAATAGGTATCTTTAAAAATTATTTGGCAGGCCCAGACTAGCAAGCCTACTAGGGATTGTAAATCTTTCTGGAAGCAATACTTTTTGGATATCCATTGGTCTAGCAGTGCATTTAGCTTGTTTACTATTCAACTTCATTTGCATTAATATCTTTCATGAATATATATTTATATAATTTAGTTTAATTTATCGCAGTAAGTATTTATAGGAAATATCAGAGAACTCGCTTAGTTTAGTCAATAAATCCAGTGTGGCAATTAGGCGAATTTGGACATATAAAATTTTATATGTCATACAGTGGCGATCATAAGTAATGGAGCAAAAATTTTTTTTTAGTTGGATCGTATTATTTTACGCAATTCTGGGTGTATCTGCTAGCTTTTTTTTTTATTTTATTCGTGAATAGTGCCTTTTGTTAATTTTAAAATTTTGATAGTTAATATAACTGCCGATGTAAAGATAATCGAGGATGTATCACAAATCACGTGTTGCATTACTTTTGATCGTTTTTGACAACGATCAGATAGCGCTTATTGTACTACATAAGTGCATATATAAATGTTAATTTTTATGCCATTCTTGTATATTTGTATTACAATAAAGCATCTGATAAAGTTTTAGCAAAAAAAAAACGCCCAAACTATATTTTACAAGAGCCCAAGTTTCTCCTTCTTCGCAAAAGTGCAGTCAGGGAATATACCATATTTGGTCAATGTAGATCACACCTTATTTAGTAATGATCGTTGGCAGAATTGTTCTAG